AAGATGTTAAAGATATTTGTGTATTAATATAATAATCCATTGTAATTTATGACAATATCAAGCTCCAATCACAATCATTACCATGAAATAATTTATATTTTTATAAATCGTATTTAATAGTGTAGTTAACTTATTTAACCAATTCATTCACCTCAAGATGATTTCTAAAGGTGGTGCAATGATCTATCTAAGCTTCAGAATATAAAACCTATTTATATTTTTATATTTTATATTTTTTTACAAAAAAATAAAGATTTTGGAAGATTAATATTATTGCATTATAGTCACTACCAATTTTTTACTTCTTTTTTTTAAGAAAGATCTATATATATATATATATATATATATATTAAGAAGATAAAAATATAAAATTCATTGATATTACATACCATGCTAATATTAAGAAAAACTTCTTGCTTTCTCTCATAAGTGACAAGTCATTTGGCATAATCTTCTAGTGCAAGTATTGTAAGGCCAATCATTTTAGCATCTTTAAAAATAAATTAAGGATTTTAGAAAATATGCTTCTATGCCTTCACTCTCTATTGGTAATAGAATTTAAACTCAACACCTTCTAAATGCCATCCCACCATAGAAGCCTTCAACACATCTCTACAAGCTCTTTGTTACCACTTGATGTTCTAAAGCTAAAAACTAAATTCTGAAATATTTTAGTTTGATTCTTTTTCTTTTAGAAATTTTTTACCAATAAAATATAGAATTTATTGCTTCTAAAATCCATGCAATTACTTCTAAGCTTATAAAAAATATACTTACAAAATTTCATCCTAAATTATTAGTTTAATTAATAATTATTTTTTTAGGATCCAATATTCTTTTAAATATTTTATTTCATAATTGCAATACATATCAAGAAATCATAACATTTTATAACTCTAAGCAGATTTTTATATGTTAAATTAATTTAAAACACAACATTGTCTTACCGCATTTCAATGTATATGCCATATGCTTCTCATGTTCGAATTAATTTTTGCCATATTTGTTGCATTCTTAATAATATTTATAATTGTCAATATTGAATCCATCAAACTAATAGCAAATAATGCAAAAGCCAATCAAAAAAAGTTGAAAAGACTTAGAAAAGAAAAATTATAAAAGCTAATTGATTGAGTTGAAAGAGCTTAGAAGTTAAGAATTAATAAGGCTAGATCTCTATTTAGAGTTTGCAAGCAACTGCAACCATCTAAGGGACACTCAAATTGGCTCCTTCAATCACTATCTAAGTAGCTCTTGTATAAGAATCCACTATATGCACTACCTCTTCTAAGCTTTGCCTTTGATTATTTTGGCCTTGTTAAAATAATCTGATGTTGTGTTGTGGTTTGACTACTATATGAAAATAATGCTACATAATTATGCACTTAATATATAATTTATTAAGTAATATGGTGAGAGCCATGTTAGTAGATTTTAGTTGATTGTAGAATATAATTTGATTATTACCTTAAAAAGAGGTTGTTTAAAAAGATTATTATAGAATTTGTAGAACTTTAATTTCTTTTGATAGTGGCTTTTAAGATTGGTTTTGGTTGATATTAACTTCAAAATATTTAGAGTCACCTTTGCTAGACATTGGTGACATTTGAAAACTTATTTTGGTTCTTTTATTTGGTGTTTAGAGCATAAATTATGTAAATCTTATAATTAAAAGGGTTGAAGAAGGGTTTTAGTAGCAAAGGGAGTAATAAGGGCACCAATATAGATGAATGGAGATGGATGATGAAAATATCCATTCCTATTGGTCAAAAATCATGACCAATAGGCTTCAAGGAGGCTGTCCGAGGCCATATTAGAGATTAGGGTTAGTTTTTTGGAGCCATTTGAGCTTTGAAGGCTGGGATCAGCAAGTTTAGGTTTTTGGCTACGGTTTTGGTTCAAATCTTGTATGATTTGGAGTTTATATGAAGGAGATATAGGCGCTCAAAGTTAAGGTGTTGATTTGGGAGCTACTGTCACTCTTTTCAACATAACGCACGTGTATAGAAGGCAATTGAGGATCGGCGACCGCAACTGAAGAAAGCTCTTTTGCAGCTACACTTTTTGCATACTACTTGCTGGATTTCAAGTTGAAATGAAGGAGTTATTGGATTTTGAAGTCAGCACATGCAATCTAAGGGTAGTAAGTGACCTGATTTACTAGTGGTTGTGTCTTGAGCTATATCTTGAGCAATTTAATAAGGTTTTGGCTCAAAATTTTAAGAAATGTGTAAATTCATGTTATTAAACTTTGTACATAAGTTTGATGATATTTGAGTATTGGGTTCTTGAGATATTAAGAAAATAGTGCTCAGGTGCTTGTAAATTAGGATTTAGAGCATCTACTAGGGTTTCTTAGATGCTAGATGATCGGAAGAGATTTTGTAGTTAGTTTTTTTTGAGGTAAAACTTAAGGATGAATTCTATCTACTCTATAAATATGAAACAAATTGAACACTTAGATCAAGAGTTATGAATTATTAAAGTTCAAAAAGAGAAAACCCTTGATGGGAAAAATATGTTTTGAAGGGATTTTGTTATATTTTGAGTTTTATGCAAATTAAAGGAGTTTTGGAAACTAAGGTAAGATACATATAAAAATTTAAGCTAAATTCTCTACAACTAAATATCCAGTATATTCCCAGATAGCAAATCATGCTATACGATACCGCTTAGTTCTTGAGGTTAGCCTTATACTAGATGGATAGATTATAAAATGCTAAGGCAATCACATTGTTAAAGTCCATGCCATTTAGGTTGCCTACTTGCAATACTATTATTGTTGATGTTGTAGTTGTTGATTTTTTGTACATGGACATAAGTTGTTGTTCTAAGTAATGGTTGATAATATTTTTCTAACAAAATTGAAATCTGTTTAAAATAGTTAAAAGAATCAGCCTAGATTTGTAGTACTACAATAGGTCAAAATTATTGGTTATTAGTTAGCCAATTATACCAATATCTATAATAAATATATAAACTTAAATAGTATATATTCTTTATTAGTATAATATATATTATTTATAGGATACGTTTTTTAACTATGATATAAATTATTTACTTTTGCTACTTTAATTGTTTAAATTTAATTGATTTCAATTCTATAAATACTTTGTGAATGTTGATCAAGTTACTTTAAGTGCTTTGATGTTGACATAGATTGTAATTTATCTACAAGCCTCACAAGAATCAAATTCAAATTATACAACATTAATTAATTTTGTAACATGGAACCGTTTTTATTAAAAAATCATGCAAAATATTTCAGCCATAGTTATTTATTATATAGTTTAGTCAGCTTAGAAGCAAGAAGAGGTGTTACAAAACAACATTATAGAACCTCACAATAGTCACTATACAAAAAGATCTAGTGCAATACCGAAGCACTCATCCACATGAGGAGCAATCATGGCAATAGTTGTTAGCAACCTCCAAGCCAAATAAGATTTATAAAAAAATAACATGAATATCAAGAGGGGGTCAATTTATATGAATTGGAAGAAGCACAATTTTGCAAACACTATGAGATCTGCACATTATAAATTTAAATAATATATCACACTATAAATTGAAAGAATTTTAAAGAATAATTCTTTTATTTTTTAATAAAATTATATTTTTTTTAATTACAAGAAATTGAAACTCTCAAACATTTTTTAGACATCTTTGTCATGTAGCATTTTCAATGCTTTGTTTGCTAATTCTTATTATAATTTACATTTCCATGGTATGTCTAGTAGAAAAAAATTTGAACTTAGAAAATTCTTTACAAATGCAAAAAATATGCTTAGTTTCCTTATAATAGTTTTTGGTGTTGAAACACAAACATTAAAACTTAAAAATTTAAGTGATTAAAAATAATTACTTCTTGTTTCACTAATATTGTTATTTGTATTGTTATAAAATAATTCCTCCAACCATAACTCAATACAACTAAATACACAAAAGCTTAGAATTTTCACATTAGTGTTGAACTTAATGTACATACAAATCTAATTATAACACAAGATTAAATTTTTATACATAATAACTTCACATCAGTATGCATCTAAAAAATACAATGTAAATTAAATATTATAAAAATAAAATACTTAAACCTTAAAATATTTATTTTTTTATTATTATTGTTAATTTTTCACATGCCATTTGGATAGTAATTAAATAAAATTACCTTGTTTGATAATCCATAAAATGTACATTTGTCTTGTAGTTGATCATCTATTTTTGTCTATTTTTACCAATAATTGGTAAATCAATGTATCCAACATAAATTCTACATCTTGTTCAAATTAAATATGTTCTTTTGACTGTTGGCCCATATTTGCAATGCTCTTTCTTATGACCTGCCTTGTGGACACATGTTACCACAAAAAAATAACATAGTCCAAAAACATATTCTTCTTTTCAACTTAGAGATTATCAAAGCATACTCTTAATGTCTTCCAATTACTATTTTTTTGATCTCCATTCAACTCTCTTTTTATTTTCAACGTTTCTAAAGACCAATATCTCAATTTCTTGTTCTCCTTCAAAAATGTTTCCAAAAGTTTTATACTCAGTGGTAGGCCATTGCAAGCTTACAATTATTTTTACCAATTCTGTCATCATGCGGCCTGCGTGTTTTATTACTCCCGAACTCCAGAGGAACCTTCGAGACGATTCGATCTGATTTAAAACCCAGTAATAACGGTTTCTCGAGATCGTTACGAAATTTCAATCTGGTCAGCAGTGTCAAGAATTGATGCTTCAGGAGCGTATCGATGCCAAGGATCAACTATGGCACCTTCAGGAGCGGTTTTTCATCTCATCAGTGTCGGTAATAAACTCTTAGCGCGGACCCGAAAAGACTGCACCCACGCAAATGCATCCCGCTATGTGCGTTCCCAGTAACATCAGAGACCTAAGATCTTGTGTGGGGTCCTTACCCCGCCGGGTCGTTCACGCCTGCCATGCTTTTGACATTCATACTTGCGATTTGATCGCCATTCCATCCTGGTCTATGATATGAACTGCAAGTCATGTATTTCGTTTGTTTAAGGATAATCAGTGACATGACTTAAAGATTTGTTTGAATCTATTCCAGAAGATTAAGCTCTGCTCTTTTGCTTCGATGTTTGAAGACGTTTCATCAGAATTTGCATCGTCTTTGATTTGGTAAGGACGAGAACTTCACCTACTTCACTCCATCTTTGTTCCATGGCCTTGTTGGCAGATTTTGGAGCTCGTCAGTTGACACATGTGGGCGATCACAAGGTCTCCGAGCTGCTGTGCTCGCACTTGAAGCTATTGATAGTAGGCGAATTGATAACATACACAATATATCGATATCTAGTAAAAAACAAGACAACTAACTGCTCTTCAAAGATTGTCGAGTAATCAAATGACAAAGGCTACTTTACATTGTATTCATAATTAACACAAACTTTCCCCTTTCTTGTAACTATTAAGAGCAGCGACTTCTCCATGCATCTGAGTCGATTTCATTTAGGGCGTTCTTGTAAAGTTTTAGCCGCTGAGCACAAGCCTGTCTTCGTTCCATCAAAGCTGTGTCTTTATCCAACAATTGACTTAGGCGCTTGCTCTGTAAAGCCAACATTAGACTCAGTTAAATGAAATGATTTGCTTTCTGGAGTAAAAATCTTATCACTAAAGTCATGATCATCTCAAGCTTCATTCTTGGGTAGCTGAGGATAATAATCCTTACACGCAAAAGATTGAACTCAAAAGGACTCCAGCAGATCAAGACTTGTAGAGAAACCTGTGTATCAGCGCGTAACACCACCGGAACATGCCAGTACTGCCGATAATATGAAAACTTCTCATCATCCCATTGGACCAAAACGTTAAGTTGAACAAGTGAATGTTACTCAAGTAATTCTTACTTGGCTTTCGCCAACGGATTTGCGAACAAGCTCCCTCAGGATCAAGTGCACCTGCACATCAAAAATAGCATACGCATTCACATCTATCTACGTCCGTGTTCTAGACATGTATCAATTAAGTACTAAACTTAATCCTCCCCCTGAAGATAATTTCAAACATTAGATTTATTCTTAAACTGCCAGAAGAAATTCATGTAGAAGATTACAACCGCACCGTATCAACTGCCCGACCTTCCGAAACCTGCACATGATGCGCAACAGAATGCTTCTATTAATGATCCAATGACCAGAAGATTGAAAGGACCAAGGGCATCACCTTCTTACTCCATGTATATAGACTGTGACGGCCCTTGCACTATATTGTTTAACTCATATACGTCAACTTTGTAAAAAAGAAAAAAAACTAGATCATTTCTTGTTGTCATGTACACTTACATCGACCGCGTTGGTGCCTTTATCCATGAGGTACAGCTTTGTCAAGACTCCAAGTGTTCTTTCGCCTGAAATATTACAAGCCAGGTAGGATGAAGATAATTGACCCAGTTACGGAACAATCTGTTATTCCAAGAAAATTAGCAGAGTATGCAACATAAATTTTTGATTGTTCAGATAGTTAAGTACCTCCAGGATCCACTTCAAGCGCAAGCTTGATTGCATCCGATGTTGCAACATTCTGCTTCGCAGGTGATATTGCCAGAATGAGGGAATTTGTCTGCAGCAAGATTAAAACCAAGTGCATACCAAAAAAGCTGAGTTATACCTCTGCTGGAATAGGCATCAACCAATCTGGTAGCTACGATCAATCATCATATTTCAACAATCAACACAACCGACGTTTTCTTTATAAAGGAAAAAAGGAAAGAAGATTGTATGGAAAATGATCATGTCCCACCTTTTCAACATACGACCTGACCATATCGTCAATATCTTTCACAATACTATCCGGCTGCCCCTCTAAACAATGAAACCAAACAATGCAGTCAATCAGGTGCATTTCCAGTCTCATCGTTTTCAACTTTTTCAGAAAACATCTTGCGGAATTTACATCGCATTCCAGAAAGCTGAAAATAAATTTAAGGGAGTAAGACGACACTTACCCACTGCGACCTTCGTTAGACCAGGCAAGTCGATTAAGGTCAGATTCACCACTGCGAAAAATTCCAGAGTGCGAGTTATCAGCCATGTAAATATAAGAAGGTATTTATAAGTACAACAGTTATGAATTCGCTGATACTTTCGTATCAAATAAACTCATCCACCATCTAATTGCTGCTTTAGTGTACTGAGTGTTATTTGACACAGAAAGCTAATGTTCGGGTTAGAATGATACCATGAGGTGTGCAAATTCTGAGATGAATTGGTACAGGTGATATTTTCTTGCTCCATCCTGTAACTCCATCAATCTCGTCCTGAATTTCTTTCCGGACTTTTTCTGCATCATAACTAGGACACTTAAACGACCACCACACACTTTGAAAATTAAAAGCTCTCGAAATTCTTAACAAAAAAGCCTATAGATTCTTACTTCAGCATTTAAAATATTTTCTTCCACGCTGTTGCGTCTAACATAATAATTCGTGAACATCTTTATAGTACCATAGAATTAACTGTGAGCACCGAGCCTCAGCAGAACTACCAAGCGTTGGTCCTAGTTTTCGACAAAACGCAATTTAGACAGAATAGAAAAATGATCAACCTACCAAAGTCATAAAACCTCTTCCTTGGAAGATGTGAGAACTCTCCATAATCGGATCCTTCCTCTGTCTTATGCGACTGAAGAACAAGAGGCCGTCTTGTAACAATTTCGGGCTCCACAAAAGCATCTTAGTTCCATCTTTCTGGCAATATAGCTTCAAAAGGACGACACTCTTTGTTGCCCTGTCCAATTACGATTGGTCCAACTACGAAATCAAGAATTAAAAAAGAGCACAAGTCAAACCTGAACTACGAGGTAAAAAATCCTTTCCTATGATGTTCTTTAGCACGGATGACTTGCCAGAGCACTGGTTCCACATGTAAGACACCACAATTGATTCAGGATGAGGTTACTTTCTAACTCACAAAACACGATCATCCTTGAGATGTCGGAGTTGTTGAATCAAGGCGCCCATAACTATAGTTCGTACGACAAGATTGTGGTTCTGGACCTGACTCAATTCCGGACTCGGACCAATGCAACGAGACTAACAACTGCAAAACTTCAGCACACAAATTGAAGGGCTCATTAAATCATAGCCATACCTGACCACCTACTACAACTGACGGCAAAGTCTCCCATAGACTGGGCAAAGAGGAATCTTCTCCATAGCCCCCAGTGCTGTACTTGCCCTTTTAATTCTGTTCACTAATTCTATTAAACTCTTCATTGTAAGAGGTCCTTCTAAAGCTGCATCAGATTCTCAATTTGATCAAGACGATTATCAAACACTGCACGAAAACCTCAAACTCTTTCCGAAACTCGACTTCCTGATGAGGTTATAACAGCCTCAAGCACGTGCTGTATGAAAAAAAAATAAAAATAAAAAATAAAAAATAATTAACTATTTTTTTTTATTTGTTAATAATTGTCAGAAAATTATGGTTTACACAATTCCAATTGTCATTTCTTCTTTTCAATAAAAAAAGAGAAAAAGTGTAGGTTTTTGCAACCTTTCAGCAAAAAAAGATATAGTTATGTTTCCAGCAAAAAAATTGATCAATAGTTATTTGACCATATATACTAAAGGAATTATTTAGGTTAATATTGTTAAGGAATATTTAATTGATTTATGGAACAAAAACTTATTCTTTCTTGATGCTTGTATTTAACAATGTGATTTTTTAAAATTAAAATAAAATATTATATAATAGATTTTATTTCTAAATTTATTGCTTCTATTTTCTAAATTAATTTTATATCCATTGTTACAAACATCTTAGTATGAATTAGTGCTCATGATTCACATAATTGCTAAATAAAGTGAAAATCCTTTTGTCTTTAATTCATATTGATATAGAAGGGTGCTCAAGTTTGACATTATTGCCAAGTAAATTAGAAACTTTATATCTTTGAATTATTTTGATACAAAAGATTGTTGAAGTTTGATATTATTGCCAAATAAATAATAAAACCTGACATCTTTAATTCATCTTATCATATATGGGTTCTTAAGCTTGATATTATTCCTAAATACATTCAAGAGTTTTACATCATTGATTTAGTTTAATATAAAAGAGTACTCAAGGTTGACATTATGACCAAAAGAATTAGAAAATCTTTTATCTTTGATTCATCTTAATATAGACTAATACTTCAAAGTAGCATCAATGCTAATTAAATTAAAAATACTTACGTCATTGACTTATCTTATAATAGATGAGTGCTTAGGATTGGCATTATTGCCAAAAAAAAAAAATTAAAAATCTTACATCTTTTATTTAACTTAATATAAAGTAGGTACTCAAGTTGGACATTATTGCTAAACAAACTTTTTTTTTTTTTTTTTTTTTTTTTTTTACTTATCTTAGTATAAATAGGTGCTTAAGCTTGATAATATATCCAAATAATTTAAAGACTATTACATCTTTGATTTATTATAAAATGCATAGGTGCTTAAATTTAAAAATATTGTATAATTTTTTTTTAAATATATATCTTTGATTTGATTTAACATGGAATATAAATTTAAATTGATGGTACTACAAAACGAATTCAAATACCATATTTCTTAACTTAACATATTAAAACTAGGTGTCCAAGTTTAATATTAAACCTGAATAAATTGTGAGGCCTTACATTTTTTATTTAATTTAATATAGATATATACTCAAGTTAGATACTAAAACAAAAAAATTATGATTTATTATAATATATACTTATTTTAAATTTAGAAAATAATTCCAAGTAAACAAAATAAATAAATAAATAAATAAATAAAACCTTATATTTTTTATTCATCAAAATATAATTTAATATTTAAATTTAAATTTATTATTATATAAATTGATTATATTATTAATTTTTTCTTAAAAAAATAAATAATTACTTAAAAAAATATTAACAAAAGAATTAAAGTATTACACATCTTTGAAATATCTTAATATATATATTGATGTTTAAATTTAATAAACACATAATTGATATTATTTGATATTAATGCCACATAATTTAGAAAAAAATCTATCTTTAATTATTTTTAGCTTCTAACCATATTAATGTATAATATTTTTGTTTACAACTTTAGACATCTCTAAAAAAGAAATTTAATTCTAAAGTTGTATATTTTCTTATGATATTAGTTATATTGCTATAAGCACTTAATATGTACGATAAAATTTACTTTCAAAGCAAGATTTTAAGATCTTTTAAGGTTTGTGTATGAAAGATTTTTTTTTAAATAATATTGAATCTTCAAACTAAGTTGATCTAGAAAATTAATTAAATAGAATATTGTTGAGGACATGAATTGGATGAAGATGCATAAACCTGAAAAATCTGTGTTAAAAGAAAAGTGACAAAATAAAAATAAAATAATATGTATATTAAAAAGAAATTAGAATAGCTATTGCCAAAAGACAAGAAAACTAGAGACTCTTAAATCTAGACTTCAAACAAGAAAGGAATTGACAAGAGCAAAGAGGGCTTCACTCTTGCCTCTATATATATTATCTAACTAGGAGCTACGTGGTGATGTTCTATAGGACTTCTAATATGTATTGACTTTGTAAGTCACATGCTTTAGCTTATAAGACAAGTTTTCTATGTGTGGGCTACATAGTTAGCTTGTTCTTCAAGCTACCAACATGTGTGGCATATGACCAACTTGTTGACCACGTTTTTAATCTAAAAAGTCAATTAAAGATACCTATAAAGTCAAAAAAAATATCTATTAAGCTTCTAGGAAGCTTGTATAGAAGATATTATGGAATTAACTTATTTTTACTTACTATTATCTAAATCATATAGGTAATTATTGATTTACATGTGTATATCCATCATATTATCCCTCCTTCTAGAAACAAATTCCATGAGGAGTAGTCTTCATATTTTGAGGAAATCCAAGATGCAGCAAATTACATTTACTACATATTCCAATCTTTGTTCTCTTCAAAGATAGTTGATAGGCCTTCTGTCAAGGATATGAACTAAAAGATGATGCATAAACCAATGAAATCTATGTCAAAGAAAGAGTGAAAAAATAGAAATAAAGAAGTACATATATTAAAAAAAAACTAGAATGGCTTATTGCCAAAAGACATGAAAACTTAAGACTATTGAAACTAGACTAGAAGCAAGAAAAAAATTGACAAGAATAAAGAAGGCTTCATTCTTGTCTCTATATATACTATCTAACTAGGAGCTACGTGGCAATATTCTATAGGACCTCTATTATGTATTGACTTTGTAGGACATATGCCTTGACTTATAAGGCAAGTTTTTTTACATGTGGATTACATAGTTAGCTTGATCTTCAAGCTAACAACATGTGTGGTACATGGCCAACTTAATGACTACGTTTCTAACTCAAAAAGTTAATTATAGACACCTATAAAGTCAAAGAACCATCTATGAAGCTTCTAAGAAGCTTTTATAGAAGATATCATAGAATTAACTTTACTTTTATCTACTTATATAGATAATTACTAGCTTATAAGTGTATGTCCGTGACATTATCTTCCTTTCTAAAATCAAGTTCTACAAGGAGTGGTCATCATATATTGAAAAAATCTATGATGCGACAAATTATATTTGCGACATATTCAGATCTTTGTTTTCTTTGAAGATGATTGATAGGGCCTCTCAACCATTGATAGTGTCCCATATCAGGGCAGAAAGACCACCCTGTTATTTGATCGTTGTTGATGCCTTTATAACTTCCTTAAAATAAAATATTTGAAATACCATGAAGAATTGTTCCTACCTCTAATAAAATTATCAAACATTGGCAGTCTCTTTCAAGATCGTGATACCAAACGTATTCTATCTCGCTAATTATTGAAAAAAAAAAAAACATGTCATTCTTGACAATCTTCATCTCGATTGTATCGTATTAAAGGTTGTGACAATTGTAATGTTTTATCCAGCAAGTCAGCAAATAAAGGCTTTTCAGTTGAATTCGCTACTTCTTAGTTTTCCATCTCTTTAACATCATAAATATAAAAAAACTACAAACAAAGATTGAAAGTAGAATGTTATCTAGCCTAGATCTTGTTTTTTTTTATAAGAAAGGCCTTCATCTTGATTTTGATGGATGTCTTCAATGAAAAGCCTCCATCACCTTTCTTGCATTTGTAAGTTTCTTTATTGGCTCTTATATGCATTCACTAATATCATATCTATGCCAATGGATAAGATATTCTAACTTATTTTGATGTTGCCTTCAATTTAGGACTTCTTCTACTTCAAACTCTTCATTATTACCTATTTCTATAGAAGGAAGGGGAACTTATCTTCTTTTTTTTTATGTCCACTATCTTGTATGGTTCAAGAAGAGATACATGAAATACTAGATGGATTTTTATTGATTTTGGTAGGTGTAAACAATATGCAAGTGAATTGATTTGTATAAAAATAAGAAATGGTCCTAGCCTATGATAGTCCAACTTCTCACAAGGACAAGTGGTCTTGAAATTGCGACAAAATTATCATACCTTGTCACCTATGTGAAGTTGTGGTTTTTCCTTTTGATAGACATGTGCATTGATCTTTTATTATTCTTGAGCTTCCTTTAACAGTGCATTCATTGTTATATGTAGCTTTGATAAATGATTTGCCAAATCTTTTGTTGTAAGATTATCAGCTTTTGAAAAGTCAAAAGCATCAAGTTGTGGATGATAACCATAATTGGTAAAAAAAGGTGTTTATTTTATAGAAGAATATATCGTGTTATTATAAGCAAACTTTGCCAATGGAAAAAGAATTGTCCAATCATCTTATTAGCAGTTGATGATATATCATAAATACTGCTCCAAAACTTGATTAATATGCTCTATTTGTCCATCAGTTTGAGGATAGAATGTCAAAGATAGTTTTATATCTACTTTTAGAATCTTGGAAAGAGTCCACCAAAATCTTAATACAAATTGAATTTCCTTATCCGATATAATATCCTTAGATAATCTATGATAGCGATAGATGTTGTCAAGAAAGAGCTTAACTATTTTTTCACCTGTGATAGATTTTTTACATAGTATAAAATATGCCATCTTGGTAAAATGATCTACTATCACAAATATAGAGCCATATGAACCTAAGATTAGAAGATTTTATACTTCACTTTTACT